TCGGTTTTTGGTTGGCCTTAAGTGAAGGTAAGTTTAAGATTTCCAAAACCCTTTTATCTTAAACTAGGCCTAGCTTAAGGATTATTAGGAGTACTCTGTATACTGGAATATAGTTTAATTAGTTAAACTAGAATTCATTTAAGGGTTACAAATATTAAAATGATTGGCCTTAGACTAAGAATAGTTTAAGGATATTGTTGAATGACAAATGAAGAACATACATGTTGAACGATTGAATAATGAATGTTGAAAATTGAATATTGATTATTGAATATCTGAATGAACATTATGTGCATGATATCAAATGATTTGATTGTGAATTGAGATACAATTTATATGGATGTTCGACGTATTAGATTTGCTTACTCAGGTTTACCGCTGAGCGTGTAGTATGTTTTATTTGCTACACGCAGGTTAATAGAAAGAATGATGTGACGTGATCTTGGAGGCGGACGGAGGCGAGACTGTCGGAATGGATGTGATGTTTTGAATTAAAGAACATAAATAAATTATGTTTGTAATTATGATTTGTTAAGCTTCCGCAATATTGAAAACTCTGTACTGTTTATGATATGAAAATATTATTGTGATAAATAAAAGTGTTTGAAATGTTTTAAATTTTACGATTACCAAGTTAATACTTTAGTCTGAAAGGGGCCGCAGACCTGGACGGATTAGGGTGTTACACAAGTAATGTAATTAGTTCAAATGGTAAAATAAAAGTAAAAATATAAAAATATAATATGTTTATTGAAAGGAAAACATAGTTCCAAATTTATCGATGTAGGTTCTAACCGGTTTCAGATATAATCGGTTTCGGGTATTATCGGTTTCGGGTTTAATTGGTTCAGATATTATCGGTTTCGGATTTAAATCGGATATGAATTATTTAGTTCGGTTTCGGTTCGATTCGAATCATTTCGGGTTTTCGGTTATAGATCGGATCTTCATTTTTCGAGTCATTTTGGTTTCGGTTTCGGATATTTCGGTTCGGGTAATCGATTCCAGTTCTGTTTTGCCAGGTCTAACTGGAACGGAAGAAATATATTTATATACAAGGATATTAATGATCAAATTATTGAATTTGTAACTTTGAAAGGTTAAGAATAAATTCTTAGAATGGTACTCAATACCTATGTGTTTTTCCAAATTAGTACTCAAAATTAACTAATTCTCGAAATGATACTTGATAATTGAGAATGATGCTCAGTTCAGTCCCCCAACTAACGACCATTAAAAGGATATTAAAAAGACGTTAAACGTTATACTACTTTCTCAAAATGATACTTTTGAACATGGTATTTTTTTCAAATTGATCCGTTTTCGAAATAAAAATGCAGTAATTATGAAAAATATTTTAAATTTTATAGGATGATAATATATTACTAAAAACTATAAATATAATTTTATAAATTTGAAAGTAACGCTTAAGATTATTTATAATTTTTTAATAGAATATCATGTAAATAAAATAAGTAATAAATGTTGAAGAGATCACCCTAAATAAGAGTAAAGCATAGAGAAAGAGCTCCTATTTTGGTACTTCCTTTATGTTTTACTCCTATTTAGAGTAATTTCTTTAACGATTATTAAACATTTTATTTACATGTTATTCTTCTAAAAAATTATAAATAATCGAAAACATTTAATTTTAAATTTATAAAATTATATTTATAACTTTAAGTATTATATTATCATTCTATATAATTTAAAATATTTTTCCATAATTAATTTATTTTTATTTCGAAAATGCACTAATTTGAGAAAACACTCAATTAGAATGTACTATTTTGAGAAAAATTATATAATGTTTAACGTCATTTTAATACCGTATAAACGATCGTTAGTCAGAGAACTGAACTGAGCATTATTTTCTATTAACGAATACCACCTTAAAAATTAGTTAATTTGAGAGACTAATTTGAGAAAGCATGGAGTAATTAATAAAAAAAAAATTATGGACGAAACCTCAAGGGTCCGGGCAAAAAAAGAAATGCTCCGTAACAAACATCTAACAAATGGCGCTTCAATTCTGATACTTCCCATTTCCCGCTCTTCAGCTACTGACTAAAGGCTTTCCACTGAAACCAATCCACCAAATAATCAAACACGAAACGAAAAAGTGGAATCGAAATCGTAAAATTGAGAAATGAAATTCAAAAGGCATCTGTTTCTGGTGTCTCTGATCGTCGTTCTGATCATCTGCTTGAAGAATCAGAACGCCGAAACCAACTGGAATCCTTCTTCTCATCCTTCGAGTTTCCAGACATTGGAGTCGTCGTCGTCGTCTCAATTGGATGAACAGTCGTTCCCGACTTCTCCGTTCACGTTTAGGGACAGCAAGATTGAAGCTCCTACGCATTTCGAGAGCCTCAGATACGATTACTACCGCGAAACATGCCCTCAGGCGGAGCAGATTGTTCGATCTACAGTGAGGAACCTCTACAACACGCGTCCTAGCATTGCTCCCCAGCTTTTGCGCCTCGTTTTTCATGACTGCTTTGTTCAGGTCAAGTCTCCCGCTCAGACTCTTCTCTGGCGGAATCAATTTCGGTTTAAAAATGTCCTTGTCTGGATCTGATCCTTCACCTGTGTTAATTTGTGTTATTTGATGTTTTGCTTCTCGATTGTTAGGGTTCCTTTGTTTAAAATTTGTTTCCTAAATTTGAACTCTTGTTTGCAACTCCTGTGGTCAGAAATTACTCTTCTCCTTAGTTCGTTTGATAACAAACCTTTGTAGGTTTTAGTTCCTTTTCTTCGAAAAATATTTAACTGGTGAAGTATTGAGACAGGCATTGATTGTCTTTCCAAATTAGGGTGTATATATGGTTTTAAATTGCTGTTTTTAATTAATGGTGAAGTAATAATGTGATCCACTACAGATTGTAGCATACTGGGTACATGATACTTAGTGAAATGCTTGGATTTTGGGTGTTGGTTTCTAAAATTTGCAAAATCTGTATGGATAGCTCTGATATGAGGTTGGGTTGTGCTGTTTGAATCAGGGGTGTGATGCCTCAGTTCTACTAGACCCGGCTAATGGAATCGAGAGTGAGAAAGCGGCAATTCCCAATTTGCTCTTAAAGGGTGATGATGTTATTGATATAATCAAATCCGAGCTTGAAGAAGTCTGCCCATTAGTTGTTTCTTGTGCGGATATTATTGTTCTGGCTGCAAGAGAGAGTGTTATTCTGGTAAATATATCTCTCATGATAGACAATTTCCCTCCATTTTGCATTATGATAATAATAATGAGAAGAATAGCAACGATAATACTGAATCTTATGAATTTCACTAGGTTGGTGGTCCATTCTACCCATTGACTACTGGAAGAAAGGACAGTACCGTTGCTTACCTTCAAATTGCCAATCAACTTCCAGCACCCACAGATGACATTCCCAAGATACTTAGCAAGTTCTCGTCAAAAGGTTTCAAAGAATGGGAGGTGGTCAGTCTCTTAGGTATGATAAACCTTTTCTCTTGTTCTGTGTCTCGCCTCTGCTCTTGTTGAACCCCTGAACTCTTAGGGTATGTGTGGATCCGGGAAATGCTATGGAATGAGGAAACATGCTTAGCAAAGTGACTTTATTGTTATTGGTTTTACCTTAGAAAGATGCAAATGAAATCTGATGAAACAATATTCTAATGTCTGGTTTTACCATGGAAAATTTATTGAGTTTGAAACAATATTTTATTTTTCCCACATTTTCCCTACATTCTAAATTTACGCTCCATTTTCTTTTCCTAACATTTTCTGAGTTCCAAAGGGACCCTTAATGTAGAACTTTTAGGTTACTTATGATATAATAAAAAGTAGTGATGATGCATGCATCTATTCCCTGGTTCGCAGGGAGCCACAGCACAGGCGTGATTCATTGTCATTTCTTCAGTGACCGCCTTGGGGGAACTAAGGAGCCTGACCCTTCTCTCGACTCGGAATTTCTCAACCAGTTAAGGTCAAAATGCAATGCCAGCCAAACGGCACCTTCACCGTCACATGAGGATCCAGCAATAACGATGGATTACAAGGGACCCAGAAATGGTTTTGGCACCATATACTACCAAAGCCTCCTGCAAGGGAAGGGGATACTGTTTTCGGATCAGCAACTGACCGAAGCAGAAGAAACTGCAGAATGGGTGGAAGCATATGCTTCGGATACTAAATTGTTCCGCCTGAAGTTTTGCCGTTCAATGATGAAGCTCTCCACTATTGGAGTCTTGAATGCAACTCAGGGGATGGTTCGCCTGAATTGCAGAAGGGTTGCCTGAAAGATGTTGATGATGAGAAGTTTGGTTCTTCTTCCTATAGTTGTGCATTGATTGAACGCTTCCTACTTGTTGATAATATTACATTTCCAAAAAAATCTCATTTCTCACCATTCTCTATGATCATTTCTTGATCTCCATGAATGTGATGAACTACATTCAAGACCCTACTCTCGTGGAATCGAACTGCATTTACAATACCAGCAAAAATCTAATCTAATAAAATTGAATGTATATTTAGTTTGCTTAGTTTTCATTTAATTAAATTAGTTTGAATAAAATCCTGTTAATACCCAAGACACACACATCACATTCACATTGATCCCCACACCTCAGTCAATAAGATGCAATTGCTTCAACAACAAAAGCTACAATTCTGTGTTTCTATTTACAAGAAAGACTTCCCTAGGGACCCTTTTTTTACTTTATGGAATTTGAAGAAATGGTGTAGCAGCTTGTGGACCTCCCCATAATTCTTGGTTGCAGAAACGAGGCGGGCTTTAATCCACTGCGGAAGCTTGTTTGTTAAATGAGAAGCCCTCCGTTCCATGGGATCTGACGCATATCGCCCATCAACTAACAAAATTGCAGCATAGTCATCTATGTGTCTGATTGCTCTACCTGGAATCACAAGAAGAGATTCAAAAACTAAGGGTATGTTCGGATCACAGGAAATGCTAGGGGGAAAGCATAAAAGTTAAGGAAATTTAGTCTTACATTTGGGTTTAACTTGGGCAAAACACAAGATACCCAAAACCAATTTTTATCATATATTCGGGTTTCTTGGTATTTATATAAGAAGAGAAATAAATGAAGAAAACGAGTTTGAACAAATATTTTAAATACATTCATTGAGTTCGAGTTTGTCCTTTATTTTCTTCCCCAAATCTTCTTTCATTCCCATTTTCTTTGATATTTTCCCTCACATTTTCTTTCCTTGGCATTTTCATGGTTCCAAAAGGACCCTAAAAGTTAAGGGCATAGTGCATACCAATAGATTGGTTTAGAGCTTTGATGCAAAGATTCTCATAGTACTGCTTCCCCCGATGCTTGCAGCTTCTTAATATGTTCAACCCAGCTTGTGCATCCCCATTAAAAGACTGAGTTGGAACTGAAACTTCAGGTGGTTTACTCAAAGACAATGAACGCCCAAGCCCTTCAATATGTTTCACCCTCTCAATCAACTCAATGTCGGAGGGGCTGGGGTAGGGTAGTCCTACCATGACTATGCATCTCCCCATTCCATCACTGAAATTGATACCCTCCGATATCTTTCCACCCACAATTGCAAAGAGAATTGCACCATTTTGAGATTCAGGTTGAAGTTTGTGATCGATCGCGTCCTTGTATTCCCTCAGAACAACTTTTACCTCTGTACTTTTTCTAGGCTCTCTGTAGATACGCTTCTTCTTCATAATTCTTGCAAGTATGCCGGATTCCCTCCAAGAATTGTACACCAATGATTCATAGTCAAATGATGAGAAGAAAACTATTACACCCTCAGGAACCAATGTCACTATATTACAAATCAGAAGCCCTAACTCTTCAATCTGTCGATCAAGAGCTAAGTAAAGACTTCATATATAAAGCACCTAACTAGATGAAAACAAGTGTCTAGACGCTCACAACTTAGGTAAGAAAGTTTTACCATGACTGGGGAGCTTCTGGTATTGTAACTAAAATCAAAAGAATGTCCTGATGGCCCACAAGAAACAGCAATAGGTAATATATTTTCAGAAGGTATTATGTGACCACATGAAAAGAAATGCATCTTTTCAGGCTGCAAAGATGGGAAAAGGCGTTCCTTTGTTTCCTCTATAGGTTGAAGTGTTCCCCCTGCTAATATGACCGCATGGGCTTCATCAAGCACCTGAAACAGTAGAGGAGTATGTAATTAAACTTGGCTGATGCTAAAACTAAGGTTTTTAAGTTTGTAGAGAGTGAGATTAAGGGCCCATTTAGTATGCCTTATTTGACTGAAATAGCTGAATCTTCTGAATTTTCTGAAAACTTAGTGTTCTATAAAAACTAACTCAGCCAAAAAAAGGACTATTTAATGTGCTGATAGGCACAATAAGCAAATTAATGCCATCAAATGGGGCCTAAGACAAGTGGCAAACCTCAGAAAATATCTTTTCTCCACTGAGCATGACATATTTCAGACAACCTCCTTTCTGTCCTTCGGAACTCGGTCTTGCCCGGGATACTATTACCCTTCCATCTGAATCTTTATTTGTTAAAGATAGTAACATGTCAAGTAATGCTCGGAAACCTGACAGTGAGCTTCCCTCCTCACTGCTTTTGTCACTTTCTTTTGAGGCTAAAACTTTTTCTGCGGCAAGTTTATCTCCATATCCACACACCTGCAAATATGCAAATGCCATTTTAAGCTTCAAAAGCTAGAGCTTGCTTAACTTACAACGCACCAGAATGGATCGCAATTACTCACCTTGTGAATTATATTGCTATCTTGTATATAATAGACCAGTTTGACAAGATTTATGTTGTCGATGTTGAGAGAAAACAAGAACTCATTAATGGTCATGGAAAACTCAAACCCACTTTCAGTTCCTTCTGCAGAGAAAAAGGAGCTGCCAGTGTTTTTCCCATGACATAAAATATGTAGAAAAGCCCGGGTCAGTACCATCAGCGTCTGGATATATCTTCTATTTCCGGGTCCTAACAGACTTTGAAACCTCTTGAGGTAACTTTCCAAATGAGAATGCAAACGTTCCAACTGATATAACACAGACAAACAGTGAATTCAAAGATTTTGTGTTTACTCTTATGTCCTAACATGTCAATTGATTTAAAGCCTCTGTTTTGGATCACTAACATTATGTTTGCTTCAAGGAATTTGGAAGGAAATAAAAAGAAAATGATTTTCTCAATTTCCTCACCAAAATTGGAGGAATTTGGGTTTCTCTCCTCTTCGTACATTTTGCCTTATCATTTTCTTTTCTTTCCACTTTCCATTTCCTTTCCTCTCTACCCAAACATGAAAATTGTTTTTCCTCTAATTTTCTTTTTTTCCCCTTTCAAATTCCTTGAACCAAACATAGTGTAAAGATACAAGTGCTTTCTTATTCAATTCACTTTAAATGCTTTGCTTACAAATGATCAATATGTTGCTTTCTTAAATTAGCATTACAAGCATTTTTCTACTTTTAAAAGAACTTTTCCCATTTTCCTTGCCAAACGTTTTTTTATAGTGAATGTATTTATCTTCCCCTAAAAACACTAAATCCTTGACACAAATCAACCCAAACACACTCTTAACTTTGTGTGAAAGATACAACATATTGACAGTTGAATTAAGGGTGGAAAAGTTTACGAGTTATCAGATGGATGGATATAATTTACCTGCGACAGAGTAACTCTCGCATTGTGCATGCTGATAAGAGAATCAGCTAGATTATGAGCTTCATCAATAATAACAACATTATCTTTCAAACTCAAACCAAGAGATTCACGAGATGACTTTGAAAGAAGAGATTGGTAAGGAAGTATTACAAGGTCTGCTTTAGGCACCAAATTTCGTGACCCATAATAAGGGCAAGTTCCCAACCCACGCCCAATGTGAACCACATCCTCAATATCCAAAGGCCCTTGGTGAAAAAGCTCACTCCTAAGTTCCTTTTCAACTTTGCGGCTTCTAAGCATTGGGCACCCAGATGAGGCTTTTGTCCTTTGCACTCTTTCCTTGAAGCCGAGGTTCTGCAGGTAAGCACTACAGGCTCAACCCAAAGAATCCAGAAAATAAAACAAGTGTAACTAAGGAAAATGCATACTTTGGGAAAACTCATACCTTTGGTTTGGAAACTTTACAACATCCTTGTTTCCTACTCTTTTGAAGCTCTAGACATCTCTCATTTATTCGTGTTGAGGTTCCCAACTTCAATACATCTGATATAAACTCCAAACTCGCCATGTTTAACAAGACTGAGGTGATATACACTCATGTAAGCATAATCAGCATTAAAAAAAAGTCACTTCCGTGTACCTTCATTGATGCAGAAATTTTTTCTGGACCCCAAGCACACAACATTCAGTTGGCTAGCGAATACAGTCTTCTTTATCTCCTTTATAAATTGGGAAAGCTGTGAATGTGTCCTACTGCAGAAATAAACTTTCGGTCTTGCCTCTTCCTTCTCATCGTCGTCATCATCATCCTCGCTCGAGGAGCTCACATAATCCTTGGCACCCTTTCTTTTTTTATTCCCTTCAATTTCCCCTTCACTCTCGTACTCCTCCATCAAAAAATCTTCATCTTCCATGCCCTCTAACGCATTATCACCCTTCAAAACTTTCTTATCCTTGCGTTCAGTAGTTCCAAAAGCGTTTATATTTTCAATTTTTCTATTAAATTTATTTTCCCTACATAACGCCTTTTTCTCCCCCCTTTCAGATGCTTTCGTTCCAGCATTAAGCACGAAATTCCTCATCCAATCAGGCTCATCGTCTGGCCCTGATTGCATTTCAGGTTTATTATCATTCAGTACTTGCTTTCTATCAACAAGCCACTGCAGAGCACTGCAGATTATACTAAGTGTTTTCCCGGTTCCTGAATCATCCACACTTGGATCAATCACAATACGAAGCGAAGAACCAGAAAGGAAAATCACATGTGAGGGAAAAAAAAGAATACATAAGATAATAGGGGCGTTTGATTACCAGTTGGGCTCTCGAGTATAGCAATGCCGCCGTTTTGGAGGGACCTATAGAGGGCATTCATGAAATCGAGCTGAATGGGGTAGGGTTTGTAAGGGAATGCTGGGAATTCCGGTCTGACCTCCTCCATTTCTGCTCCCATTCGTTCTCTTTCTTCTTCTTCTTCTTCTCTTCTTTTTTCTGATTCGTGACCGCCTCTGAATAAATTAGGGGTTTTAGTCTGCTGGATCGTAGCCCCGCGCGCAAGGTTTTCCCGCGTTTGGGCGTGATTGAAGTACATTTTGTTGGATAAAGCTATTTGTACCCTTAATTCTAATTTTTGTTAATGCACCAAAACTTTGTGTCAGTCTAAATTTTTGTTAATGCACTGACACTTTATGTCATTGTGAACCATCAAAATATTAGTGTATACCTTTAGTGTAAGTTTGGGGTACAAATTTTGGTGTAAGTGTATCACGGTCCTTTTATTTTTGATTTAAGGTTCCATTTTGTTTATGAATTGATGATTGTAATTTTTACCACATTTTTCACCCGGATCTCTTGAGAGATATTACTTGCACGGAATAATATCGAATTCTATGAATGTCTATAATCTCATGAGGTTAAAATGAAATAAAAATTAAAGTTCATTTAGCATTTTTTTCTCCTAAAGATATGACTAAATTCATATATATTTTTTACTAAGGTCACTCATTTTATGTTAAATGAACAAACTTTCTCTTGAAATTGGCTTATATTTGATAGTCTTATACTCTATGTGTGTATGTTGGAAGTTCTCTCCCACAAAAAAAACACAAATAAAAAATGTCTAACATATAAGTCTAATTGTCTCTTCACAGTAAGTTCTCTCCCACATCAAAAAAAAGAAACAAAAAATGTCTAACACAATAAGGCATGTTATAAAATAAAAGAGTACCATTTTTTAGTTTGTAACTTTTCCCCCTTTAATGTATTAACTTTTAGGCCCCGTTCCATTCAACTTTTTTTTCTACTTATTTCTTATTCTATTAAAATTAGATCAGATCAGATCAGACCAAATCTGATCAGATCTCATCAGATCATATCTAAGCGTTTACATAATTTTGTATAGGTTTTTCCCTTAAATAATTAACTTAAAATAATAATGTAAAATAATTTTAAAATATACAAACCAATGTAATTATTATTCATAAAATTTGAAACCAAAATAACACTACCCTTGAAGTTAATTCGAATATTGAAACAAAAAATACGAGTAAACATCATTTCCGGGCGGAGGGAGTAAACATCATTTCCGGAGAAAAATACGAGTAACATTACTCCCTCCGTCCGGAACTAGAAGTAACTGGAAAGAACGGGAAGGAATTAGAAGTTAAGAGTTCAAGCTCTAAAGAACATGATCTAAATACGAGTAAACATAAAAAAAAATATCAAAATAAGAGCTTCATTTTTTTATTCTCAAACTCAATTTCTCCGTTATGTTTCGATCTTCTTCTTCACCATCTTTCGATCTTCTTCTTCTTCTTCTTCTTCTTCTTCTTCTTTTCCATCTTCTTCTTTCTTCTTTTCCTTCCCATCCGATACAGCACCCCCTCCCTTTTTTTTCTTCTTCTATTTTTTCTTTTATTCTATTATTATTATCATCAACACTATTTATTACTCCTATTATTATTATTGATGGGTGTAATCCACCCAGAACCGGTCAAAGGGAATGCCCAAATGTTTGACCGGTCAAGTTGATTATTAAAAGAGAAACCTCAATCGACAGTGAAAGAGAATTTGGTTGACCGAAACGTTGACCGGTATACTTCGGATAGTATACCGGTCAAACCACTTCGTCGTCTAATTCATCCCACAATCTCAGCTAATCCATCCCTCAGGAACTACCCGGTACAGTTCCTGAGATTGGAGAGTGTCGGCAGAGAAGAATCCAAAGTGGTTTAGACCGTAGCGACCGAAGATCAGTGGAGAATAGCTGGATATGTTCGAACATTCCATCCAAGCCGCTACCTAACAAGGGAGTGTTCTCCCACGCAAGATGACAAGGCAGCTAAAGGACGAAGGCCCTCACCTCCCATCATCCGAGAACGTGCCTCCACGTGGGTGCATGATACTCTGTCCCCTTTAACTTAGTATAAATACTGCTGTAATCCTCAGAACTAGGGATCCGAATTCATTCTCTCTAAACTCCCTTGTAAAAGCTCCCTTGCATTCTCTGCTATAATATTAATTGGGCTACATGTGTTTCCACCTAAAGTCCTCCCGGTCATATTTGCGTGTTTTTACCTTTTTACTTTCCGAATCAAGTGAACAATCCTAGACCCGGTCTAGAATAGTTTACCCGGTTAGGTAATTTACACCATCATTTTTGGCGCCACCCGTGGGAGCGTTAAGGTTTCTTCTCATCTAAACACAAACCTACCCACAAAAACACCACTCAAAATGTCTTCAAGCCAGCAAATCAACGCCACTTCCGCTCAGGTGCAAACCACTGCTGAGGGAGCCACCATTGTTGCTACCCTACCGGCTATTTCTGCTCCGGTGACGCCGTTGGGATTAAGCTCAATCCCAACCCCAAGCGTGGTCACCCCGTTCACGATCCATGTCCCTTCTGCTGGACCAAGGGTCACATTTCCGCCCAGCATGACCCAGTTCATGAATGACCCGGCCAACCTACATGCCATTCAAGGCTTTGGTCAGGTCATGGCCCTATGCCAACAGAACGGGGGATGCCTTTCCTCCCTGGCATGTTTCCATTTGCTCTTCCTGGCGCTGGAACAATGCCCCTGCAAACTCCGATGGCAGTGTCTCCCTTCCTGACGCCGGTACCACAGCCATCACCTTTCCCGCCGCAATCGGTTAGCACTGTGGCCCCCGTCAAGTTGACCGGTGCACTCAACGCCGCCGGTCCATCACGCCCTCCACAGAACGTCCATCCCTAGACAACTCCAGAGGGCCATTGTATCTCTGTGGAGAGTGATGATGAAGATTGGGACATCCCCAGGACACAAAAAGAAGAAAGGAAAAACCATCCGACCAGCAACTTCCCGAAACTCCGCCTTCGAAAGGCTGGGGGATAGGGAAGAAGGTCAGAGGAAGTCAGCCAAGCTGAGATTGGGGCAGAGCGTCGCCCATGTTAGTGCGTCCGCCCGGCTAGGCGAGGGGAGGGAGGCCGAGCCTGCCCGTACCTAGCGCTCCCGGTCGAATCGGCAGGAGCCAGCGAAAACGAGGGCATCCTGCCAGGAGAAGAAGTGGAAAGTCAGCCCCGTGGGCCGGTGGCTAACCGGCTAACCATCCCGAATGATCGTGTCCAGCAGATGGAGGCGAAATTGGAGAGGCTGGAGAAGAAAGTCGGGGAGAAGAATGACCGGGACAAACCCCTCGCTGGGTCCCCGTTCACTGCAAGGGTCCATCTGACGTCTTTCCCGCGAAAGGTCAAGATAGACACCCCAAGGTTCACCGGGAAGGAAGACTCATAAATCCACCTGGATTCCTTCAATCAGAGTGCAACCATGAACGGTTGCACAGACGAAGAAAAGTGCCTCCTTTTCTTCCAAACCTTGCGGAATCGAGCTACTCAATGGTTCAACAAGCTTCGCCCTGGGAGTATTGATTCATTCAGCGATTTGGCCTCAAAATTCTAGGCCAAGTTCCAGGAGAATTATAATAAGAGGAAGAAATTCACCTATCTTAGTACAGCCGGGCAGAGGGAATCTGAGAACCTCACTCAGTTCCTTACCCGGTGGAAGGAAGAGGTGGACAAGGTAGAAGAGATGGACGACAAGATGGTCTTGTCCCTCCTTCTGACGTGCTGAGGAACTATACAAGGAGTTCTTCCGGAAACCCCCGGCTACGTATCAGGAAGCCTACCATACGGCATGGGAATTTCCTGAGGCTGAGACCCAACTCCGGGCAAAGAAGGATGCTGAGCACGGGTTTAAGCCCAAGTCGGTGCAAATCAAGAAGGAAGAAGCACCGGGATCTAGCCGCCCAAGGCACCACTATGACCCGGTCATTCGCGTGGTCAACACAGAGGAGTGCACCAGTCAATCCCCCGGAAAATCCTACCGGAAGGACCTGGAAAAAGGTTCGAACCGCACGTACACGGGCCCATGAGGTTTGACTGGTATCGGGGAATCAGCCGAGACTGTCAAACCGATTGGGGACTAAAAGATGCCCATTAAAAGAAATAGAAGAGGATCGTCCACCGTGATGCATCCTATTCCGACCGATGCGGATTTCCCCTTCTCAGGGAAGACTTGAACGGGAGGGTGAGCTAAGGCCTTCCCGGGATGGTAGATAACAAAGGGCCATTAAAAGACTTAATCACTCGGAAGAGAGGGCCCTGGAAGAAGGGTGCATTTGAACCTTAGAGAGGGTTCAAAACCATTCGACATGGTTAAATCTCTAGTATTCTTACCGGTTAAGAATACATCAAGAATTATTAGGTTACAGGTGCTTCCATCTATAACCTACCTGTCAACAACAAAAAAAGGGGATCACCCCGGTTAGGTATTAATACGATGGAACTTCGAAGGTTCAAGGCGAATCAGCTAACCGGTCAGTCTGTGAGGAAGAGAACTACCGGTTAAACTGAAGTTACTCGAATTGATCATCAAAAGGGAGATATCCAAAAGCAAAAGTTGAAGTTCTACCAGCAGAAGTTAATCAGATTCAAGATTCAAATAAATGGTTGCTATGACAGGGCTGAAAAGCATTCAAAGAAGTGGTCGCATTTTGTGCCTGTCAAAGTTAGTCATCAAACAAGAAGCACCCAAAAGGCCAAGATAACCGGGCAACAAAACAAACATAGCATTTTAATCAGAAAGATTAAAAGTTAAATGTTTACACAATACGCCGGGCATCCCCGGGGAAATTTGAAGTTCTCAAATTCCGCAAAAACAACCGGGCGCAGGCGGGATAACTACTCAAGGGGAAAGGGAGGAGCAGGCTCTTCATCCGGAATGGGGTCCAGGCCATATGATTCTGCATTGAAGTTCGGATCCCGTTCAGCCAGGATTGCGTGCGTAGCTTCCCGGTCTCTTTTCTGACCGGACATGAACCCATAAGAGCCAATCTGGGTGACCATCTCCTTCCCGTTGGGCTCTTGGTAGATAAGCCTGAAGACCTCCATCATCGTCTCTGGAGTGGAGGTGATCACCTGGGCAGCCTCTTCCAAGTTCTCCCCCATCCACTAGCGAGCTCTCCCGGGAAACTCCTTCTCCTTCAACTCAGCCTCTTCCTTTATGTGGGAGACCTCCCCCATCAGCGTCGAGTTCTCCTCCTTCAGCTGGAGGATCTCTGCGTTCGCCTTCCCGGCAATCGCTGAGAGGTTGGCCATCTCGTCGAGCTGTCGGGCTGTCAGGTCCCGAAGCTCCCGGTTGTGAGCCTCGGCTCTTTTCAGTTTTTCCTCCAGCTGAAGTGACTGGGGAGGAGAGTCTCCAGCGAGCTGCTCCAAGGCGTCAGGCCCAACCTCCCCCATCTACGAAACAAAGAGTATACCGATTAGTGCAAGTAGACAAGTGGCAGATTCAAAATATCGTACCGGGCACATGTTACCTCTTTCAGCTTGAGCCCCATTTTGACCCAGAGCTTCTCCAGCGACCCTGCAGCCGGGACGTTTTCCCCCCTTTTCCTCTTGGTCGATGGATGAGTGGTGCCCGCCTGTTTTGCCCTCGTCTTCCCTTTTCCCTTGTTGAGGGGAGGATTCACCGGTACTTTCCTTGTCTGGGTCGCCCCCCTGCTTTTAGGGGTTTCCTCCTCGTCAATGATCTCAATAGTCTCCTATTGGACCAGTATAGTCCTAGTGGAGGACGCATGTGGACCAACAGAAGAAGATTCAGCGGTCTTCTTCTAGGGAATATTGAAGGACTTGAAATTCATGTCTCCAAAGCAAGAGAAAATAAGTGCCGGAAAAAATTACCAATACAAAAGCTAAAGGACGAGGAATGAAAAAAATACCTGAGTGACTTGGGCCCCCGGCCTCGGCAGTGTTGCCCGGGGAGGGTACCCCGTGCCCCGCTGCCTCATGGGCCCGGGGTGTAACGCCCCAAAACATACCCTAGAATTATTAATGAATAAATAGTCAATTAGTTAAATTTGTTTTGATTAAAATAAATTATTGTTGGGCTTTGGGCTGATATGAAATGTGTTTTGACATCCAATATTTAAATCTGGATAAGTCTCATAGAGATAAATCCAGTATGTGGACTATTTGTGTGCTCTTGATTGGGAACCTGAGTACAGACCCAAATCAAGAGTAAATAAAGAACTTGTTTAGAATGTAAATATTGAAATGATTTCTTAAAATAAATCATGAGAATAACTGATATGAATTAAATGAGAGAACCTTTTATGAGAAAGGTCAATTAAACTAATTTTGACTCTGTCAAAGGCAAACACCCAAAAATATGATGTCAGGAAAAGTGTTACAAATAAATATAAAAATTATATCGTTGGACAGAGATTAACTGTCCGATCGCAATGGTGCAAACGAAATTCAATTCAGTGAAAGTTGGACAAAAAAGTGTTCTCCGACTGGGACCAAATTAGTCCCAATCAGGGACTTGCATTTGGAATCGTAGAGAAAGGCCGTCCGCTCCACTCAGCCGCCGAAACAGTCGAAGGAGAGCTCATCAACCTGTGTCTTCTTCCTCTTCCTTCTCCTATAAAATGCTACCATAACACCCTCCATTCTTTACCATTTCTTACAAAGTTTAATTCTATTCTGTTGCTCGGAGTGAGGAGAACGCCGTGGTGCTGTCAATTTGGTGTGAGGTCGCCGGAGTTAAGAGCTATTGTCGCCGGACGTTTCGCCGGAAAATCTTCAAAACCTCCATTAAGCTTCAAGGTAAGCCCGTAGATATATCTAGTGATTAGAATGTTCATATAGATCGTTTCTACGTTCATAAACGCTCGTTTGGTTGAGTTTCGTGTTTGACATGCTTGAAGAACCAAGAATCATAAACCATGAAATTGATGTTAAAACCATGAATTAATGATGCCAAAATGATCTATGAACCTTAGAGAACATCTCTATATAGTTTCGTTAAAGTTCGGAGAATAAAAGTGGAATTTCCGAAAACTGGACAAATTGAAGAAGATGAACAGTGGCTGAAAAACCACTGTCTGGATCGATCATCTTGCCTGGATCGATCCTCTGGGAGTTTTCCTTCTAGTGTGGATCGATCCAGAGGGCTGGATCGATCCCCCGAATTTCTGATCCGAAAATTTTTCCGAAAATGCTATTTTTGAGCTCTAAAATCCTATTTTTGATACCAATTGATTATGATTATTTTAAGGATGATTCTTTACAATAAAAATGATGTTTTTAAAAAATAAAAATGTTATGTGATGCGTGACGGTAAGTTCGGGTGTTAACACCCGAGACCAGGCCGCTAATTGTTATTAAATGTTAT